AATAAAATCGACCATATGGCATTACTTAGTAGTAATTACTTTAATTACTACACATAACTTCACGTACATCTTACACCGTGCTCTCTTTACCAGAATGATAAAATCAGAGGCTGTAAAGTTACGTAGGTCGTGGTGGTAACGCCGCTTGGGGTGTTTTCCGCAATCGTCACCAGCAAGTAATTTAAGGTTGCGCTCTACGTTACCGTCAAGTCGGTAAGTCAACTACCTTGAATTAAACTGGCGCTCTATTCTGTAATCTGGCTAGTTAAAACAGCAGACGACGTGAAAGTCGAGAAAAAAGTGTGAAGATTTTGACCTGATGGTAACGTAGAGCGCAACCTTAAATTACTTGATGGTGACGATTGCGGAAAACACCCAATGAGTGATGCGATCCCTACTATGTTGACTGTAATACACGCGCGCTCTACATGTGGCACCCTCATCGACTGTCTAGGCAAAAAAATTTGGTTTGGGGCCGGCCGACTTTTTAAAAAAAGTTGAGAAGAAAAGTATTACTAAATAGTAGCGCTGATTCTCATATCTTACATTTTATTCTGATAATTGTCTTGGAAAATGAAAAATTAATCATTAATTGCTCGCTAGACTAAATGAATTTTTGAAAATTTCAATTTTTGTTGTGGATATACGAAAAACGCAAAGCAAATTTTGCACACACGCATAATTTGTTTTTTTGTCCATCACTTTCTTACTCCTACTCTCTTAGTCGGCTTGCGAAAATCTTAAAATGTATCTTGGTTTAAACAATATAAAAAATACTTTTAAGAGGAGTAAGCATAGTAAATTATAGTTAAATTAACAAATTGTATCTAATTCATGGATATGACGGTTTGGCGATTCAGTTAGAATTTTGTGAGACATTGCAATGTTGTTGATGGACTTTTATTCCTGCCAAATAGATTTTCAACAGATTGTAAATGATGTTGATACAAAAGTATTAATAAGTTTCGTAAATCTTTTAATGATTATTATTTTAAATAACCATCAAATACATAAAAATTAACAATATTATTATATTTTGTCAATGCATCAAAAGTAAATTTAGTTATAATGTTAAGTGATGGTTTAGCACATACGCAATAAAAACTGTTTTTTATTCATAAAATTTAAAAAAAAGTCAAAATCTTACATTTTAAGTTTAACAGTATATTTATATGGAAAAGGTTAAAATTTTTGTATTATATATGCGTGAAGACGTCTTAACTTGACAGTACTTCCATAATTGTAAGTACTTTAATAATACACATGTAACATAAAATGTATTAAAAGTGATTTTTAATAAATTCGAAAAATTTTCAAAGACGCTTAAATGACATTGTGAACCAAAAAGTTGGAATGCTTCTAACACTACGTTAACAAACTTTGCATAATAGATAAGATAAATATTATTTTCTTCTTTGATAAAAGACATTACTATACTCGATTATTTGAAATTTATTGGACTAATAATTATTTCGTGGTTAACATTGTATTTATTTAAATGCTCGAACTAGATGGTGCCGCTATAATACAATTTTTTGTTACAAAAATTATAATCATCCAACTTTCTTCACAATTAGGCATCAATGTCAACCTTAGACTAATACAATACTTTTAACACACAACTTACTCACATAAATTTTAACAAAACATGCTTTCTTTACAATAAAAATCAGTTTTTCTTTGGTTGAAAAACTTTACAGTGTATGGACTGGTATAAAATATATTTATTTAGACAACGCACATTCACACATTATTTAACTTTAATCACGATGCTGAATAATCTAATTGAACGTTCAACTGTTTTACTCCAACAGCGTGGAATATCATTTGCGTGTGGGCAATGACATACCTAGGATCAACAGTTCGCGCGACTTCTAACTTTATACATCCTACATAGTTATTAGAACAAAGCGTCCAAAAATGTTGTTCTTGTACACTGTAAACACCCGCCAATTGTGTGACCTTGTGATAACACTGTGGCAGAGCATTGTCCAACTCGTGAGGTTGCCTTTGCATGAGAACTTCTGCAGACTCTTTCAGGAGAGACCACACGCTCAATACTATGAGGATTGCAATGAACATTGAGCAAATCGGGTCTGCTATTAGCCAACCAAACATTTGCATGAGCACTGCAGAAATAATGACTCCCACTGAACCAAGTGTATCAGCTAATATGTGAAGGAAAACTCCCTTCATTATCTGAGAATTGCCCGAACTTGTGTGCGAGTGTTCGATTTCAATATCATGATGATGGTGATGGGAATGGTGGTTATGCGAGTGTCCATGGTCACTATGATTGTGATTGTGGCCACCATGGCTGTGTCCGTGGCTGTGACCATGTCCACAATCCCCATGGGCATGGCCATGATTAAATGCATATATCCCTACTAAATTCACTAAAAGGCCTAGTACAGAAATTAAAAATAGTCTATCATGTTTCACTTCTGGTGGCTCCAGAGCCCTTTCCACTGCATGAGTCATTATAGAAACTGCAATGAAAACCAAGAACAAACTATTGGCGAATCCCATGATTGTTTCTGCCCTGACATAGCCATAAGAATACTTTTCATTGGCCTTTTTCTTTTGTATCAACGAAGCACCAAGACCAGCAACTAAACTGGTACAGTCAAAGAACATGTGAAAACTGTCTGATATTAATCCTAAACTGTTGGTCCAAAATCCATAAAAGAATTCAACAAATGCAAAGCTAAAGTTGAGTATAAGGAAGAGAAATAAATTTCTGACTGCTTTGTCCGACCAGATCAGTCGCTGCCATCCCAACAGCTTTTCCTTCACTCTGAAGAAGATGCTTGGCGAGTCTCTGTGCGTCAGTGGAAGCATATTTGCAGAAGTCTTGTCACTTCAAGTTGTGGAAAAAGGTCTATAAAAAAAAAAGAATAACTTTTATTTAACTGGATCACATGTTAAAAACAATCATACATTATTTTTGATACCAAATTCATTGAAAACTTCAGCTGATGACTGTACTATTTCATAACTATTCTAGTTTGATAAGGTATCAATAAATTATTCATTGAAGGACGTCGACATTTGCAGTGACAGTTGTCAAAGACAATGAAACACATTGACTTAAGTATAAAATTTTCCTTAACGTAAAAAACAACTTATAACAGCTGGCGTTTGGATTGTATCTTGTTAAAAACAACTGGCTGCTCCATGCCGACAAGGCAAAGAAAGTATATAACCGTACAGTTACAAAACAGCTACGTAAATTTAAAAGAAAAAAAAGTATGTGTACTTAAGTAGTGTATGAATAACACGCCGGAATTGGTGACACGTCCTCTACAGCCGCAAAAAAGGAGCGCGCTGGCTGACCACCTGCATACGAACAAATAACACGATATTTTAAAGGTTAGGCAACGTTTATGTTTACTTTTGACACTCACCCACTTTATCACTGCAATGGATAAGAAGGAGTGACTTTTTGGTAAAAATGTTGGGACAGAGGTTTTTTAATGGCTACAGGGTGAGGCAAATTTTTTTGGATAAGCAACCTCCTAGTCCTCCTACTACTGGACGACCGTCAACCCGGTCATTGCGCCCGACCGAGTACGACTACTTGTTTCCCTTTGGTCTGCTGTCTGCCCTGCTGTTTCTATATGGATAATTCCGCCGCAAATAGAAATATATGGTAAGATAACTTTAAGTGTGGCTAAAATGCGCCCGACACTCCGCGGAGACGTCCTTGATTATTTTTTTACATAATACCTAGTTGATTACAACTATGAGCGTTGTGTGCTCATGCATCGCAGTTGCACTTGCACCCGTTGCCTATACTTTATGTTAGTTTTTTAGAGCTGTCTGGTGATTAGAGGCAGATAAAAGAAGATTTTAAATCTATGATGGATGAAAAGAAAACACGTTTTCGAATAATATTCGTACCATTAGGTAATAAGAGATGTCCTTGTACATTTGAAAGTGTTTATAACCAAAAGCGCTTTATTTTCGATGTTATTAACATTATTCATCCGTCTAGTCTTTTACAAAAAAAAAACATGTAAGTAGCATGAAATTTTATAAGAATTTTTCAAACTGACTCTCGTAGTGCGCGCGCTCACTTGACTGCGCCGATTGATTGCGCGACGGCAGCAAGTGCGTGAGAGAGAGGTGTTTTTTTCTCTCAAACAACGAGGTTAGTTAGGTAGGCCTTTTGCGTACGAAGCATCAACATGGTGAGTGGAATTTCTCGTCCTACCGATTATTTTTACAATTATATCATTACTAACGCTAGTTTATCAGCATACGTGTGCAATTTTATCGAATCTCTGTCAATATTTTCTCAAATTCCATTGTAGTTTAGTAGGACTGTTTAGTGAAAGGGCTGATAGTCATTGAAATAAGCCGAGTGGGTGATATGTGAAGCACATGGTGGACTGACAACAATCCTGTTTTAATTTCTATCCAACCCATTACTGCTTACAGTATACTTGAAAGCAATTAAAATTATTTAAGCGTCCTACGTCAATTGCATTCAGTATAAGAGATACTTTTTTTTTTGCATTGGTTAATCGTGAATTTTTGTCTGTGCACATAACCTAACTTACAAATGATGAACTCTAAATTACCAGAATAAATCTCTGATGGCAAATACTGATTTAATGAGTCTGATTGAAATTAATTTAAGGTCATAAGATTTTGTGATATTCCTTCGAAAAACTCAATTTTCTGTAATTGTTCAACAGCCTCCCAAGAAGGACGCAAAGGGATCCTCCAAGCAGCCCCAGAAAACCCAAAAGAAGAAGGAGGGAGGATCTGGTGGCAAAGCCAAAAAGAAGGTTCGTTAACTTATGTTTATTCAGAGAGTGCTATTTTGCAGAATTTTTTTGTATACATCTTTAGAGACTCTGAGAAGCTTTGCTAATAGTTTTCATAGAACAATGCATTTTAATGATGATAATCTTTTAACCTGATGCCTATGAAGGCTAAAAACTGATTTAATGAGACTGACATAATTTTCGAATGTATATTTTATAGTTGTTTTGTTAAAGCATGTAATTCAAATGAGAAATTTTTTCTTAACATTGCAGAAGTGGTCCAAAGGAAAAGTTAGGGACAAGTTAAACAATGCTGTGCTATTTGACAAAGTCACCTATGACAAATTGCTGAAAGAAGTCCCCTCGTACAAACTCATCACACCTGCAGTCCTGAGTGAAAGATTGAAGATCAGAGGATCTTTGGCCAGGAGGGCACTAATCGAATTGCACAGCAAGGGCTTGATTAAACAAGTTGTTGCACACCATGCTCAGTTGATCTACACCAGAACCACCAAGGGCGATGACCCAGTTGTGTAAATTTAAGTGTATATTGATTTAATAAAAAAAACTTAAAAATCAAAACTTGTATTTTTACTTAGATATCTATTTTATTGTGTATATACAGAATAGTTAAAAGCAATATAAATACCAAAATACATGTTACATAACTGAAAGTTTATGAATGATGCATTAAAATTCAATTAATTATTGAATACAGTTGTATGTGTTAAAAAGTGGCTGACTTCATTTGTTTGCAAAATAATGGTAGCTTGAAAAATTACGTGTTTTCTGCTCGCTTTTTGTAATTGTTCAGTGAAGGCTATTTTTATGGCCTAAACAAAATTTTTGTATAATTTTATCAAATGTTGCGGTAACATTATGATTTGGACTTTTTCCAAGATTTATCAAGTAGTATCCTAACATGTTTTCGTGCTTTTCGTTGAATCACAATTAAATTGCCACCAATAACCAGAATAAGGTCATAGAAGTTCAGGGACAAAACTTCTTTGCATTTTATCAAATCACCACTGTTATGGCTGCACAACTCAAGTCTCAAAGTTCAGCAGTACACGCCCTGGAGCAACGTGGTTACCTCATTGGAAAAAAAATTGGACAGGTTATTGTCAAATTTTTTAGATTGATAAAAAACCCCCCTGGGAATTGAATGATGAATCAAAGCTCACGTTTACATCGTTTTGTTAGACTAATAGGAAACTCTTTATGTTCAAACGATTGTAATTTAATATCTTGTACCGGAGTTTGAGAAAATTACATTGTATCTATGGAAGCAAACAATATCTGCATGGTTCTAAAGTAACAAAACAATTTATTTTAATTTCAGTTTCTTGCTCAGTTTTTAATAATGTAAGCAAAGTAAAAATTATAATGAAATATGAAATGAATTAAAGTAAACATTTGAGTACTTTGGAGAACCTCAGACGGCTTTAGTGACAGAAACTTAATTTTTTTAAACAGGGAACGCATGCAACGGTTCATTTGGCAGAATTTATGGATGGCAACTCTGGAAAGAAAGTGAAGCTGGCCTGTAAAATTTTCAATAAAAAAAAGGCACCCCACGACTTCCTCCACACGTTTTTTCCACGAGAACTTCAAATTCTTACGAAAATAGAACATCCCCATATCATTCAAGTAAAGTTATTTTCAATACTTCACCCAAATATTTTGAACAACAATATAGTGAAATGTTACATTTTTTCACGGAATTTCTAAATTTGTCGTTAAAAATTTTGAAACACATTTGGCTTAGTTGATTGTAAGCAAGTTTAACGATTATATTCTACCGATTTAAATCATAGAAAACGATATTTTTGTTATCTTTAAAATTCGCATATAACTTTAATATCATTAAATTGGATACATTATATAACAAATGGTAAGATTACGCAGTTGTTAAGGTTTAAAAAATTATCCACCCAAAAACTAATCAACATGTGTATCGTTTATATAATAACGAAATTTTTTTTTTATATTTACGGTCTAATATTGAGAATATCACTTTTATACTGTACCATTAGAAAATTGCTCTACACCGTAAAGTGCACTATATTCGATTTTCTTTTTATTTTAAAACGTTCAAGTCTGATTTAGTTACATAATTATTTTAACACGTGATTTTAGCGAAACTTTGCGGTACAGACAAAACTTTTTACCCTTCAAACTGCACCAAAATAAAATGGTAATTCACTTGGGCACTTATTGTTTACACTTTACCATTAAAATGGCCTCACACGCGTAGTATTCTTTTTTACACATACATCAATTGGTTGAAAAAAGAAAAATTAATCTCGCCCCGTTTACAACACGAGTCTTTGACTTTGCCTAGAAAAAGCATACACCCTATTTGAATGTAAAAAAAAAAGTCACAACGGCACTCAATCGAAAGGCCGTCAATGAAATATCGGTCTCCTATGGCCATCAGGTCCACAGCATCCTCCAGCGCGGACCCCAAGTCTTCATCTTCATGCAATACGCGGAAAACGGGGATCTGCTCGAATTCATCCGCAACCCCCGAGTGGGCACGGTACCCGAGCAACAGGCCCGCATCTGGTTCCGCCAGATGGCCTCGGCCCTCCAGTACCTCCACCGGCTGCACATAGCCCACCGGGATCTCAAGTGCGAGAACATCCTCCTCTCGCGGCGCTTCAACGCGAAACTCGCCGACTTTGGCTTCGCCCGTTACTGCGTCAACCAGGAGGGCAGGCGCGTCCTCAGCCAGACGTACTGCGGCTCCGCGGCTTACGCTGCCCCCGAGGTGGTCGCCGGTAGCCCCTACAACCCCAAAATGGCGGACGTTTGGTCCTTGGGCGTGATACTATTCATCATGCTCAACGGCGTGATGCCCTTCAACGACAAGCACCTGGCCAAGCTGCTCAAGGACCAGCAGAGCCGCAATTGGGCCTTTCAGCCCAAGGTGCGCGAGAGCGTCTCGGGGCTCGCAGTGGCCATGGTCAAGCTTCTCCTCGAGCCCGACGTCACGCTCAGGCTGACCGTTGACCGGGTCATGGGGCACGATTGGCTGCGATCGCGCGCGTGCAAGGAGAGGTCGGCGAGCCGGTGTTTACAGCAGCAGCATCGGCAGGTGGAGTCGCCACCGATGGTACATCATCAGGTATAATTTCATTCTTTTCTCTCTCTTTTATTTTTTTTATTTTTAATTTNCTTTACCAGAATGATAAAATCAGAGGCTGTAAAGTTACGTAGGTCGTGGTGGTAACGCCGCTTGGGGTGTTTTCCGCAATCGTCACCCTATTTTTCCAGACAAAGTCTCATTTTAAATCACATTTCTCTGCTTCTTTGTTATAGCCCGTAAGTTCTTAACCATCTGACGTTAGTTTTACTTGTATTTTAGATTATATTATACACATATTATGTAATATTGATACTAATTAAATTGATGATTCACTGATGGGTGGCAGTCATGGTATCTCGACACGAGACATAAATATGTTGATGAATTTATATTGGACGGTGCTACAAGTCGAGAGATTCTGCCTGTTGTCGCGTGCGAATTACAAATAAAATCGTGTAAATTATTTGTTATAGTTTTAATGGAAATTATACACTCATATATATATACATCATGTACGAAGTAAAATTAATGTATGGACGTATACTTATGTTATTAAACGTAACTGTAGTGAATGTGCGCGGTATACTTATTATTATAAATGTTATGTCATTATTCATGTACCTATTATATACATGTAACCAAAAATTATAGTTTTGTACATTAATTTAGAACTTAGCTATATATGATTGTATAGTACATAAACTTTAATTAATAATAAAATCATGTTTAAATACACGCTTACTTTTTAAATATTTTATTACTTTTTAAAGTATTGTTAAATACTTTTACGTACAAGTGCACACAACAAGTTGCAAACCAGATGGTTTGTATTTTATCTACTTAAGTACCTNACCGACTTGACGGTAACGTAGAGCGCAACCTTAAATTACTTGCTGGTGACGATTGCGGAAAACACCCCAAGCGGCGTTACCACCACGACCTACGTAACTTTACAGCCTCTGATTTTATCATTCTGGTAAAGAGAGCACGGTGTAAGATGTACGTGAAGTTATGCCATATGGTCGATTTTATTAAACCAAATGAATATCTACATTTTTGGAGGTTGACTTTTGGGTAAAAAATAGATTGTAAACTTGCCGCAAACAGCACAAACGACGTCAACTTTTAATTATCTATCTACAGAATTAGTTGCGGCTGGTTTAAAACTGATTAAATGGCTCTAATATAAGAAGTGATAGTTATTTGGATCAGCGCCATCTAGCGGACTTCATTTTTGAGCGAAAAGTGGCCTCTAAAATTCTCAATCAGAGCAATCAGGATTAGAGCCATTTAGTCAATTATAAACTAGCCGCAACGTATGATAAAGCTATAAAATAAAAAAATAACTGTACATGTGTTTTTGGCGGCAAGTTGAAATCTATTTTCTACCAAAAAATTGACCTCATATGTGTTTGTACTTTTGAAGATGAATTTTTGAGTAAAAGATAAAATGTTAACTTGCCGCTAAAAACACATATATAGTTATTTTTTTATTTTATAGCTTCATCATCAGTTGTGGCTGGTTTATAATGGATTAAAAGGCTCTAATCCTGATTGCTCTGATTCAGAATTTTAGGAGCCACTTTTGGCCAAAAAATAAAGATCGCTAGATGGCGCTGATCCAAAATAATTATTGCTATTTACAGTAAAGTCACTTTATTAATTATAAACCAGCCGCAACGAATCTTACTGTTAGATAATAAAAAGTTAACATTTTTAGTGCTGCTTGCGGTAAGTTTACAATTTATCTTTTACCTTAAAATCGACCTCCAAAACCATTAATATTCTACTTATCTTATATATCTCACAAAATCGACAATATTTACAAAATTACAATACTCTTGACTTTTTACCATTAACTCATGTAAGCACAAGATGTGTCGTCCCTTATTTATGTGCTTGTCAACCTTTTCTTGATCTTCTCGTAGAAAGATAAATCTGTTAAAAGTATGGGCCTTATAGAAAAAAGATTCTTAAGAATTTTGAGATACAGTACTTAATGATAATTTCTTGCTTTTTTTTATTTTACTGACTTCCTTGTAAAACGATGCTTTAAAAAATGGTAGTTTTCCTACGAGTTTGAAAAGTCTTCGTTTGCGAACCAAGAGGTTTGCGGCCCGAGCCGAAGGCGAGGGACGTAACGAGGTTCGTAAAGGAGACTTTTCGAACGAGTATCGGAAAACTGCTTTTTTGCCCGAGGAAGTACCAGCCTCCCAAAACCACCCGAGGGCGGAA